CCTGTGCGCCTCTGAGAAAGTAACAGCAATGGGGCAGGAGCTCCCTCCTCACCACACCCGCCCTCCCACTGCCTGTCCCCCTGCCCTTCTGCTCATGTTTACCACCTTCCCTGTCATGTGGGGATGAAATGGCCCTGCTGCCACCAAGAGCCAAACCCTCCACTGTGTGCCAGCTCCCAGCCATCTCACCCTCCCATCATCCACTTCTCCCTCACCTGAACTACTGCCAACCTCTCAGGCGTGTTCCAACACTCACTCCTTCCTAAGAAACCCCCATTCACACCAAACTCTGTCCTCATCCTGTTCTCCCTTCAAGACAACCAACGCCTTCTATGGCCTCCGGTCCATGGATCCGGCTCATGGAGGGCACTGGGCTCCAGGCTGTCAGCCTCAGTGGTGAACTCCTTGTTCTTACTGTTCTTGACTCTCAGCATCTCTCAACTGGGGCGCCCATTACTCTCTTCTAGCCTGAACTTCTCTTCGGGTTGCTCCCCACCTCACCGGTGGCCCCTCCATTGCTTGTGTGGGGCCACCTCCTCTTCCCTGCTGCACACTCATCCCTAAGTGACCCTCCCAGACCCAGCTTTTAAATACCATGACCAACAGTTCCGGAAACCATCGTTCCACTTTAGTAGGGCCAGTCACCACCCCTCACTGTGGGGAATGTCTCTCCCTACAGTTCAACCCCATAGTTCCCTTCCCTCAGGCCATGCTCAAGTCCTAACTTCAGAAAAATACAAGATCTTCCAGTGCCTCCACAGCCCCACAGTCTCTCCCCTTCTCAGGCTTCCTGATGCACTGAAACAGGCAGCAGAACAGAATTTATTACTTAATGACAGACCATCTGTAATTGTTCCCTAAAAGCCTTCTTCGGTGCAAGTCCATTTTCCCCACCTGGGTTAATGCATTCCTTTTGTGTACCTGGCACCCAGCCGGACACACCAGTGATGTCCAATGATCAGTTTTTTCACAGAAAACAAACATAACATTTTATAAAGTCAACATCAAAACTCATGCACTATTTTAGTCTGTTAAATATCTGAGAAAAACCTGGACTTTGTCCCTAAGTTACCTGACAAATCATAAATAATTGTTGTTAAATCCTTTGTCTACAATCACTATGCAACATCCTGAGGAAGAACTTAACATGTGGAAAAGCAAGCACTAAATGTGTACCACTTTCTATCACTGAAGTTCTCAGAATTTTTAAAACTGAAAATACTGAACAGCATTTCACATAAAACATGGAAATTTAAAAATTTTTTACAATACTCCTAACAAAAATGTTCAATTCAGTGGGGTTAAGTTTTTATTCAATGTGTGCCCAAAAATAATGAATGCAATTTAATCCTTTAATCCAAAAGGCTACATGAGATACAAAGAGCAAGTGTGGTCATGCCAAGAATTTCTGCTAGAACTCTATGTGGCTTTGGGAGGGAGTGTTGTTCACAAAGACAGTTGAAAAGACTGCACTTCAGGCTACATTTAAGTCCAGTTCATCCGCTCTGTGGAAATAGTCTTATTTTTCATTATGAAAATACATAAATTAATTCTGTCTCACCCTTGCCATCCTCTCAATTCCCATCCATTTTCCACTGAAAACAGCTGGCCACACCCAAGAGATTAAAACACAAACCAGAGAGCCTACCGGTTCTCCCACTGGTCCCTCTTGCCTCCCATCTGACCAGTGGGCAGCCAGCAACATCAAAGGCACAGCATCATAGCCTCACAAGCCACACTGCTCTCTCCAAGCAGGTGGGCATGCTGGGGTCCCCAATCTTCCATGCCCTCATGTCCTCCCCTCACCATTTCCTCGACAATTATCTTTCTCATCTTCTTCAAATCCGATCAGGATCTTCAGATCCTCCATCCCATCCCACAAGGAGGTCTTGGCTGCCCTGCCCTGCTCTGAATTTCTTTTGCTATATGTGCAGCCCAATAGTAGAACATTTACCATATGTTCTGAGACTTCTTCATGAGCCTTTCTCCCCAAATACCTCCCCAAGTTCCTGGTGAAGAAAGACTCCGTTGATATTTATATTCTGCACTGACTTGCACAGTGAACACCAAAAAGGTATGTTCAAGCCCCAACTTCTGGTACCTTTGAAAGTGACCTCATTTGGAAACAGCGTCTCTGCAGATGTAACTAAATTCTGAATCTTAACATGAGATCATCCTGGACTTAGGGTGGACCCTAAATTCAACAGCTGGTGTCCTCATAAGAGAAAGGAGAGTATCTGAGACAGAGAGGGAAGAAGGCCACGTGGGGACAGAGGCGGGGATCGGGGTGGATTCGCCAGAATCCAATGAGGGTCCGAAGCAAGGATCCTCAGAGGGGTTTTGGAAGGATCGTTCGTGGCCCTGCTGACACCTTGATTTTGGAATTCGGGCCTCCAGAACCATGAGAAGAAATTTATTTTAAGCTAGGAGTTTGTGGTCATTTACTACCGCCCTAACTGGGAAACTAACACCTAGTCCAAACCTCATCATGCTGCCTGCTGCCCAGGGAAACACTCAACAAGAACTGCACTTCACTAAGAAGGAAAACAAAGGCAAAGGGGGAAAGACAAGAAGGGTGGGAGCTGCAGGAGGAGCACCTGGGACATAACCCCTCTCCCTGCCTCCCCCCGCCCCCCCCCACACACACACCATGTTCATTCACTCCCGAGCACCTGGGCAAGTGAGTTATCCACAGGTACCCTCTGACTGATTCCCTAGGGGAGATGAAGGAACTGGCCCCGAAGACCTTCTACCAGCTCCAGAACACCTTGAACCAACTTCATCCAGAACATCCTCTTTATTTGATCCTAAAATAAGTTACAAGTTACAAGTTCTTGCCATTCACTAAAAAATTGTATGAATTTCAATTTCATCTAAAGAACTTTCAGGTGTAAAAAAAATGTATTAAAATGACATTTGAAAAGCACTTATATTTTCAACAGCTCATAAGAAACAGTGAAACAGTTGAACTGATACTATGCTGCAAAGTGATTTTCTACATTATCTTTTTTTTTTTCTTTCTGCCAAAGCAATATCAACAATTTACAAATAGCAAATCATTCCAGCTGGAACAGCTGACATTTCAGAAAAAACTCAACTTAAACTCAAATCAGCTTAAGTAACACTGATGCACAAGCCAAATGTAGGATGACTGGGGTTTTCTCCAGTTGGCTCAAGACTGTAATTAAGGCCCCATACCCCGAAAAATTTCCATTTCAAAGAATCGGGCTAAGAAAAAAATACAGCTGCTGCCAGGACCAAATGGTCAAGTGTTGGTAAAGGAGTCAAACAAAACAAAAGCTATTTTACCCACTTTTATGCCTCCATAAACACACACACACACACCACTCACTCTTATCAGTGTTGAACCTTTCCTAATCCAAATAAACAGAAATGAAGACCAAAGGTGTTGGTGATGCAATTTATACATCTTACCTA